TGCTGTCAGCTGAAAGGACTTTGTATCCCCAGCAGTCTCTGTGATAATTGTGCTAAAAGAGTCACAGATCTGGTTGGGTTTGTTTGCTTATTTGTTTTCTCTCCCTTTTCCTAGTGGACTGGGCTGTGGATCAAGCCCACTTTGCCCTGTTCTTCAACCAAGGGCAGTGCTGCTGTGCTGGCTCCAGGACCTACGTGCAGGAGGACATTTACAACGAGTTTGTGGAGAGGAGTGTGGAGAAGGCCAAGGCCAGGGTGGTTGGAAACCCCTTTGACTTCAAAACCGAGCAGGGGCCTCAGGTGGGAGCAGGAAATGCCCTGAGCTGTTATCTCATGGAATTGTCCCAGTCTTGAGTCACTGTGTAGATTAGAGTGGGAGTATCCTTGGCTCTATTGATTAACCCAGTTTGAGCTGAGCCCGTTATCACTGGTGCAGGAGGGAGGATTTAATTAACCATTGGGACGACTCCAAAACTTGACGCTGCCACTTAAAAACGACCATTTCCCTTTGGAGATGGCTTGGCAGCCTGCTGCAGCGAGGAACGGCTGGAGCTCAGCAGCTGGGAGCGGAACCTGTTCCCAGGGGGAGCTGACCTGTGTCCCCTCCTGGCTCTCAGGTGGATGAGGAGCAGTTCAAGAAGATCCTGGGCTACATCAGCACGGGGCAGAGGGAGGGGGCCAAGCTGCTGTGTGGTGGCAGCCCCGCCGCAGACAGGGGCTACTTCATCCAGCCCACGGTCTTCGGGGACGTGCAGGACAGCATGACCATTGCCAGGGAGGAGGTGAGTGCTGCAGCTCTCCGAGGCTGCAGTGGGAGATGGAAGTAAAAGCATGGGTTTTATTCATGGCTGTTAAAACTAAGTAAAGCAGTGGGGTTTAATTTTTGTATTGATTATTTCTTTTAGGGGGGTGGGTTTTGTTAAGGAGCTGTTGGGTTTTATTGCGTGATTGATGAAATTGCATCATTTTAATTGTGAGATGTTTTACTTAGGGGGAGGAGCTAAGCATTCTTAATTAGTATTTTAAATCTCAAATTTTTTAGCTTTTCAGCTTTTTAAATTACATTTCTAGAGGAAGACTAAATTTATCTATATTGCTACTAAACTTTTAGAAGAAAACTACATCATTTTATAAGATTACTACTTTAACAGAACTGTCACTTCAGGAGGACTGAAATTACCATTTAATCACTCTGAATGAGAAGGTGTCAGGTTATATTCTGACCCTATCAGTTTTTGTACTAGTGCATTTTATTTTAATTTCCCTATTAAGTTATAGGGGGTTTTATTATTATTCATTTTAATTTTTATATTGAGATAGGAAAATTAAAATAAATATTAATTAAAAAAACCTATGAAGTTATAGGGATTTTTAATTATTATTTAATTTCCCTATGAAGTTATAGGGGGGTTTTATTATTATTTAATTTCCTATGAAGTTATAGGGCTTTTTTCTTATTATTTATACATACTAGTAAAAAACTGTCATTCCTATCCTCATATCTTTGCCTAAAATCCCCTTAATTTCAAAATTAAAATAATTCAGAAAAGCTGACATTTTCTATTTCAAAAAGAAACTCCTGCCTTCCTTAGCAAACACTTGTCTTCCAAATTTCAGTGTCATTTTGCCCCCTCTTGGTGCAAAACCCCCAGGTTATATCATATACAGAATAACTCAGACACAGAATAACTCAACTCAGACATAGAATAACTCACTGAGACACAGAATAACTCATACATAGAATAACTCACAGAATAACTCACTGAGACACAGAATAACTCACTGAGACACAGAATAACTCACTCACACATAGAATAACTCACTGAGACACAGAATAACTCACTCACACACAGAATAACTCACAGAATAGCTCACTCACACACAGAATAGCTCACTCACACACAGAATAGCTCACTCACACACAGAATAACTCACAGAATAACTCACTCACACACAGAATAGCTCACTCACACACAGAATAACTCACAGAATAACTCACTCACACACAGAATTCCCCGCCTGTGTGGGGCCTGAGCAGTCCCAGAGCCCGGTCCCCGTGTCCCCACGCTCCGCTGGCCTTTTGCAGATCTTTGGGCCGGTGATGCAGATCCTCAAGTTCAGAACCATCGAGGAGGTGATCGAGAGAGCCAACGACTCCAAGTACGGCCTGGCAGCCGCCGTGTTCACCAGGGACCTGGACAAGGCCAACTTCGTGTCCCAGAGCCTGCGGGCTGGCACGGTCTGGTGAGCCTGGCAGCCCCTGGCAGCCCCTGGCACGTGGGGCCTCTCCTCTGGCTCAGGTTTACTTGGGCTTTGCTCAGGGAATGGCAGAACGTCGGGGTGGTGGGAACCAGGTAAAATTTGGGTGTGGTGTTTATAGGTACTTGATTTTTATAGGTACTTGTTTTTAACAGGTATTTATTTTTATAGGTATTTTTATATATTTTATAGGTTTTAATAGATATTTTACATATTTTTATTTTTATAAATATGTATAGATATTTTTACAGCTATGTGTAGATATTTATTTTTACAGCTATTTATAGATTTTTATGGATTTTTCAATAGTTTTTCAATAGATTTTCAATACATGTTATAGATTTCAAATAGATACTTTATAGATTTTTAATAGATTTGGATAGATTTTTTTTAATATTGATATTTTGTAGATTTTTTATATAGATATTTAATAGATTTTTATATAGATATTTATTTTTTTAATAGATATTTATTTATTTAGGCTGGTCCATCTCTCCTGTGAGAATGGTTATCTGGGTGTGTTCACCTGGAGAAGGCTCCAAGGAGACCTTAAATCACCTTCCAGTGCCTAAAGGAGCTCCAGGAGAGCTGGAGAGGGACTGGGGACAAGGGATGGGGGGACAGGACACAGGGAATGGACAAGGGATGAGGGACAGGAGACAGGGAATGGGGACAGGAGACAGGGAATGGGGACAAGGGATGGGGGACAGGACACAGGGAATGGACAAGGGATGAGGGACAGGAGACAGGGAATGGGCACAAGGGATGAGGGACAGGAGACAGGGAATGGGGACAGGAGACAGGGAATGGGGACAAGGGATGAGGGACAGGACACAGGGAATGGGCACAAGGGATGGAGGGACAGAGGACAGGGAATGGGCACAAGGGATGGGGGACAGGAGACAGGGAATGGGCACAAGGGATGAGGGACAGGAGACAGAGAATGGCTCCCACTGCCAGAGGGCAGGGCTGGCTGGGATATTGGGAAGGAATTCCTGCTGGGAGGGTGGGGAGCCCTGGGAGTCCCAGCTGAGGGGGCAGACTGGACCCTTGGCCTGGATGATGAGAGCTGTGGGTGGATCCTGTGTCCTGCCTGGCCAGTGCTGATCCATCCTGCTGGCTGAGGGGATGGACAAACTCCCTCAGGAATCCCCCCCAGAGCAGCTCAGCCTTCACTTTCACCCTCACTTTCCCTTCCAGGATAAACTGCTACGACGTGTTCGGTGCCCAGGCTCCCTTCGGGGGCTACAAGGCCTCTGGCAATGGCAGGGAGCTGGGGGAGTACGGCCTGGAGGCTTACGTGGAGGTGAAAAACGTGAGTGTTTCCTGCAGCCAGAGCCTCCCCAGCCCTCTGCTGCAGCTCCAGAACGTCTCTGTGCCATTGTGTGGGCTGGGCTGAGAGCTGGAACCCACCTGGCGTCCAAACCTTGAGCTTTCCCAGTCTCCAAACCTGTCCCTGACTGGGATACACTGTTTTTTTTTTCTCCTGCCTCTCACCGTTCCAGTGAATATCCCTGAAAAGAAAAAAAAAACCCAACAACCTGTAACTTTCCTTTTCTTTTAAATCCCTAGGTGACAATCAAAATTCCACAGAAAAACTCCTAAAGGACAGCAACCTTCTCCACAGATTTGAAAGTAATGGTGCAGCTTCACGGCACACAAAGCTGAACACAGAAAATTTAGTATGCAAAAATATGTAACTGCATTAAGAGGTGTTTTTTTAGGTGTTTAAAGGAGCTTTTGTTAAAAAAAAAAAAAAAAAAAAAAAGAAACAAACCTACTTGGCTTTACCTTTTTAAAATACCAAATGTATTTGGCTGGCACTAACAAGGTGGGATGGTTATTTTGGGTACATTTTGGGAATGTATTATGTGGGTGCAATCACCAGAGGAGAGGGGTGAGATCTTTACATCTCTAGCTGATAAATAAGCTTCTTTTCCCCCAAGAAATCATTTAAATGCTTCTTTAGTCTAGGAGGATTTATAGAATAGAAAATAACAACAGAATTAGGTCTCTAAACCTTGTCCTATGAACTGTTTCTCTTCTGTGAGCAAAGTGAACGCAGTTTGTGTACCCGGCCCAGGGAGCAGTGTGAAATCTGAGGAAAAAGTGCTTTTTTTGTTCCGTCCTGCTGGTTGTAGCCACTCCAAATAAACATTTCTTGTCTCAAAGCAGCAACCCTACTTTTGTTGGGCGGTTTGTGCCGGTGAGCCCAGGCTCACACAAATTCCTGCAGCGGTTATTTTTAAGGGTTTGCTCTGCTGTGTTTGTGTTGCCTTGTTGTTACCGGGACACTTCCGCTGCCACCCGGCCCCAGCGCGGCTGGAGGAGTGCGGGGGGTCTGGGCCTGAGTGAGGCGGTGGGGCTGCCCTGGGAGGCGCGGCCATGCCGTGCTTTCGGGGGAGGAGCGGAGGGCCCGGTCGGTTTTTGCGGCTCCATCTCGCCGCTTCCCCTCACGGCCCCGAGGGCGCCCGTTCCCCTCAGGCGCGTGCGAGCCCCAGATCTCGCGAGACTTGGAGCACCCTGGCTCCCTCAGCCCAGCGGGAGGGCCGAGTTCTCGCGAGACCTCCGGGACGCGACGGGCGGCAAGTCCCTTCGTTAGGTCCCGCCCACCGAGATATCGCGAGACTTCGCTTTGCCACGCCCTTCATGTTAGGGGCGGAGCGAATATATCTGGCCCCGCCCCGCGCCTCTGCGATTATAACGTCATCACAAAGCGCCACCCTTTTCGAAAGCCCGGCTGGGGCTTTACCGTTGCCGTCGCGCTTTTAGAGCCGCCGCCAGCCGCCTGCAAACCGCTCCAGCGCCGTGGCGGCGGCTCCCAAAATCCCGCGGCGAGCGCGGGGCGGGCGCGGCGATCCCGCTCCGTCCTCCCGTGCTGCCCTCCTTGGCTTCAGCGCTACCGCCGCGGCCCTCGGCGGCCGGCGGGGCTGCCCGGCGCGGGGTGCCGGCGATGTCCGGGTCCCGGGCGGCTCCTCCCGGTTGAGCGGCGGCTCCGCGCGGGCCCCGCGCCCTCCCCGGGCACCCGCGGCCCGCCCGGCCGGGCATGAGGCGGAGCGGCGGCGGCACAAAGGCTCCTGCGGGGCTGCGCGTTGCCTGAGGCGGCCCAGCGGCGCCCCGGGCCCGCCGCGCCCCGCGGGGCGATGTCGCACGATCACGACATGGACAGGACGATCAAGGTTGGCGGCGGCGGGCTCTGGGCTCTTCGGCCTCGGCGGAGCCGCCGGGAGGGGCTCGGGGGGGTTTGCTCGGGACCGCGCGGAGGAGGAGCCGAAGTTTTTTGGGTGTTTGTGGATTTCGGCGAGCGGGGGGATCGGTGCTCGCTGGCTGCGGGGTGCGCTCGTTAATTAGAGTGCTGCTGGTTAATGAGTGCCTCATTGTCCGTGTTAATTAGTGCCGCTCCTGCTCTTCCTGGGCTGGTCCCTGCTGGAATTCCCTTTTCCCCGATGGAGCTGCGAAGTTTATTTTTGTTTTTTAATTTTTGTTTTTATTTTTGTTTGTGTTTTCTTCCTTTCCTGGCGGGTTCTGCCCAGCGCCCTCACGGCCCATAAATTCCACATTCCTTTTGTCCAAATCCTTCTTCCCGAGCTTTGTTCCCCTTTTCCCGGATTAATGTCCACAAAATGATCTGAGTTGAATCGATCAAAGTTTCTCCGAGCTCCTGCAAACCCCAAATTCCTGCGAGCCGCCGGGATTTCTGCCCCTTCCTCCTAAACCTGTAGCAATTCATACTTTAACAAGTACTCAGCATTTTATACTTTCTGCAGATTTTTTTTTTGCTTCTCAGGTCTTTGGTTTAGCTCGGGTTTGGTCGTTCTGGGGTTGAGGGTCTGGGATTTAGGATTTATTTCCGTGGTTGAGGAGCAGGAGCTGGAATTCCCCAGGATTTCGTTTTTCTCTGCTTGCACCCAGTTTGTCCAAGCAGCCTGCACTCCTTCCACTCGCTGGAGTTTCTCCCAAAACTCCTCATTTCCAACCTTTTCCCCATCAATATCTGTGGGAAATAAAATTGTGGAATGTTTTTAAAACGTGGTAGAAGATTCACAAAGTCTGCACCTTGAAATTAGAAATTCTGCCTCAGAAATGCCAGGGAACAGGACAGACTTTGCTGAGAAATGGAAATAAATGTCAAAGCACAGCCTGGCAAAAAAAAAAAAAAAACAAAAAAAAAACAAACCAAAAAACATAAAAAAACCAAAACCAAACAAAAACCCATCATATTTCAGAGAAATAGAACTATGAGAGATGCATTTTATCAGCTCCCACAAGGTCCTAATTACTAAAATAAAATAACTAAAATCACTTAAATTACTGAAATAACAAATGACTCCACTGGGGGTAATTTCAGCTGATTGGTTTTAAGGAATTTCAGCATTTACATTAATTTACAAAAGCTGATAGGCCGAGAAATGCTTATGATGCACTGTAATTAAAAAATTAAAAATTAAATTTAAAAAGTTATTGGCTTCTGGTTGTGATGGTGTGAATTGTGACACCTGAAAAATGGAACAAATGTTTTTTTTTAAAACACCTCTCAGTGCCCCATCTCTGGGTCAGAAAAGGGCTTAATCCCACAGATTGGTGTTCTGTGTGAGGGAAAAAAAGGCTTTTTTTGGGGTGTGCTGGTCAAAAAAAAAAATCCTTAATCCCACAAATATCCAGTGGGATCATGGGATCAGTGAGGCTGGGAAAGCTCCCTGAGATCAGCAGCTCAGGGGGGGCTGAGCAGGGCTGGGAGAGCTTTGGGAATTCTGCTCTTCCTTTTGGGAATTCTGCTCTTCCTTTTGGGAATTCTGCTCTTCCTTTTAGGAATTCTGCTTTTCCTCTTGGAATTCTGCTCTTCCCTTGGGAATTCTGCTTCTCCTTTTGGAATTCTGCTTTTCCTTTTGCAATTCTGCTTTTCCAGGCTCTCAGCATCCCAGCCTGCTGGGGTAGTGCCCAAACTCTTGGCTCAGCCTTGGTGGGGAGGGAATTTTGCTGAATTTTGCTGCTGGGGAGATCCCAGCTGCACGTGGAGCTGTGGAACTTTGCTGGAATTCTGGATAGTTCTCATCATCATCCCCTTTTCCCACTGAAAATTCATGTTATCAGTCAGAAGTTTCAGGTTTCTGGAAGTTTGGAGCTGGGTGATTCCCAGGAATTCCATATCCATGAAATCCAGCTGAAACACTTGGATATTTTTAAACACGTTGGTGCTTTTGAAGCATTTCCAGCTGTTTAGGATCAAAAGAGTGGAATTTTTAAGGTGGGAAAAGAGTGAACATTTCCCTGGCAATGCTGGAATTCCTGGTGCTGAGGTTGGAGCTGCCATTCCTGAGCTGGGAGGTGCAAGTGGCTCCCAAATCCTGGATTTGGTGCCATTTGTGTTTCTTGACCACTTAATTATTCATTTTACCTCTGAATTGTAAAGCTGTTTTGGGATGAAGGTTGGGAATCCAGATTTAAAAAGTGCAGGATGTAAAATTGCTTTTTTTTTTTTTTCTTTAAAACAATGACAAATACACAGAATAGGAAATAGAAATTAAAAGCTCATTAATGCCCAACTAAAATTGTGTTTTCACCCCACCCCTCTGCTTCCAGCTCTCTACAGCTGAATGTCAGGAAAATTAAATCAGCTTTTCCCTAACAAGTGACATTTTTCCTCACAAGTGAAATTTATCTGAGTTAAATTTATAATTTCCTTGAGCTCCTCCTGAACACCACAAATTTCTGTGATCCACTGAGATTTCTGCCCCTTCCTTTAGAAACCTTCAGGGCTGGCCCTTCCATGGATTTGGGAATTGTTGTTTTCCTTGTGCTGCTGTTGCAGCAGCTCCTCTTGCTGTGATTTATCCTGAGCAGAGGCAGGAATTTAATAAAGGAACAAAGGCCCAGCTCAGGGCATCAATCACAGCTCTGAGCTGGGTTTAAAGCCTGCCTTGGCTTGTGGTTAAGCCTGAGAGCACCCAAGTGTGGCCTAACAAAGCCCAGCCCTGTCTGTGTGGGTTTGGACAAAAGAAGCCTGGTTCATGATCAGAAAAATCTAAAATTAATCAAGCAGGGTTTAATTTACAGTGTGATGGTTCCAGTGGTTTGAAATCTGCAATTTTCTGTGACCAAAAAATGCATTTTAATGCTAAAATGGGCTCCTTGTTTCCTTGAGATTGATCATTTCTAGGTAGGAAGCTGGAACTGAGTCAGGGAAAGATGCCCTTGGTACAATTTGGGTGTTAAAAGCACAAAATCACATTTACTGCTGTCAATAACCCTGTTTGCAAATTCCAGCTGCACAGAAACTATTTTAATCAGGTAAAATAATGACATTTATATTTATATTTAATTTTAATTTCCCTCAGGAAAGCAAACTCCCCAGCAGGCACTTTTACACTCAGATCTGGTGAGCTTTTTTTTTTTGGGTTTTTTTTTTTTTTTTGAAAAGCTGTAATAATTTTATTTATTATGTATTTATTGACTGTGTTTTCCCTCTTGCTGCTCCTTCCTGAACAGGAAACCTCCATTTTAGAGGAATACAACATAAACTGGACTCAGAAGCTGGGAGCTGGGATCAGTGGGCCTGTTAGGTAAGGGAACAGCCCAGGATTGTCCCTGCCCTGTGGAGGAGTCAGTGAGTATTTTACTAAAAATGATGATGGGATAGATGGAAAATTAAAACCAACAAATGCCTCTGCCCCACGTGGGTCCTGCAGGAGGGGTTTTGGTTTTTTTGGGGGGGAATTTGGGGAGGAAAATTTCTCCTCCCTTCTCTGTGCTGCTGTTCCCACAGCCAGGCAGGAGCAGGAGTTGGTTGTGGAATAATGACAACAGAAATTGCTCCTGAAGCCCCTGCACTGCCTCTTCCCTGCTTTCCCAGTTGTTTTTCCAGCTCTTCCACTGGTTTTGCATCCCAGCCCTGCTCCTCATGGATTTTTAACCCCTGGATGCTTTCTGGGAAGGAAAACACTTTTCCAACAAAGCCTGTCCCTTCAGGGAATGGGAATTAAGCCTGTCCCTTCAGGGAATGGGAATTTGGGAAGGAAAACACTTTTCCAACAAAGCCTGTCCCTTCAGAAAATAGGAATTTGGGCTGGAAAACCCCTGTGCTGCTGTTCCTGGTGTTCCCTTTGTCTTTCCCATTGTTTATCTTCCTGTCTGAGTTCTCCTCATCCTTTTTGGGTTGTTTCATTAAAACACTCATTTTGTGCTTTGTTCTTTTGGCTGCCTCTTCAAACATGGGCCCTTTCCTCAATTGTTAAATGAGGGAGGAAAAATAGAAAAAAAAAATCAGCCAAAATGAGGATTTCCTTCCCAAACCACTTTATCTATTCCCAACACTTCATTTGTCCCAACATCACTGGGGGTGTTCAGGTGTGCTTTGGGTTATTTCCATCCAAAATCTCTCTTGAGGCTGAATTTAGGGTGAGAGCTGGGAGGTATCCCAGACTGGGGGCATTCCTGGCAATTCCCACGTGGAGAGGCAAACTCAGAGCTACAAATCAATTGCTTCAGGTGTCTGTTTTTGACCTCCTTGCTGACTGAATGATTTTGTTGCTGTACTACCAGAGTCTGCATGAAAAAATCCTCCCAAGAACGCTTTGCACTGAAAATCCTCCTCGATCGTCCAAAAGCTCGAAATGAGGTACAGTTCCTGCTTTTCTCTCCAAAAAACCCTCAATTCTTGGGATGTTTTAAACATAAAAACCCCACCACCAAACCCCCATTTGCTGGCTGTGCATCCAGAGGTTTATTTCTAATTAATTGAGCTGTGTTTTCAAGCTGTTCTTCTCCCTGTAATGGAACAGAACCAGTTTGAGAGGGAATTTTGTTGCCACACGTCTCAGTCTTGGATGTCACTGCTCCAAGAATGCTTCAAGTTGTTCTGGAAATGGATTTTTCCATGTGCCAGGACCTAAAGCAGCTCCTGACACAGGTTGGGAATTCTTGAGGTGCCAAACTGTGCAATGATGGGCACTCCTCCAAGCAGTGGGGAATTTAAACAAGGATTAATTGTCCTCGAGGTTTAAGCAACTTCCATTTCTTGTTACTGAGCAAATTCTCCTTTAAAATTCCCATAAAAACCACCTGTGTACAAAAAGCACCAAGACTTGGCTTGATTGAACAGCTCAGGGAGCTTTAAAGTGGGGGAAATTCCTGAATGTTGGGACAGGAGGTCCCAATTCCTTCCCAGCTGGAGCCTGCTGGGGCTCCCTGCAACCCAAACCCACAGACTGGGCCAGCAAGGGACACATGTGATGGGATTTGTGCTGGGGAGGCAGAAAGGGACAGCTCTGAGCTTGGGTTACCCTCCAGACACACTTCAGGTTCTGGTTCCAAGCATGGAGGGGTTGGAGGCTCTGAGCAACTGCTTTAATTCAGATGTTCCAGCTGTTGTGAGTGCCCAGCCATGAAAGCAGCCAGATGATGGAATTTTCGGGTTCATTCATTCATTTTCACTTCCATCAAAGTGCTACATTGCTCCTTTAAAGCTGGTTCTGTCTTTACATTTCTGTAAAGAGCTCCCAAGACTGAGCTTTTCCCAGAGCTCTGTGTGGGATTCCATAAGCTGGGGGGTGTTTTTTGGGGGTGTTTTTTGGGGGTGCTTTTATCCCGAGCTCAGCAGGGCTCAGTGCCTGTCCCTGTGTGCAGTAACAGCTCTTCCCTTCTCTTCAAGGTACGTCTGCACATGATGTGTGCAACACATCCCAATATTGTTCAAATAATTGAAGTTTATGCTAACAGTGTGCAGTTCCCACATGAATCCAGCCCCAGGTAAGATTACATAGGGTGATTCATTCCCAACGCTTGTTTTCCATGTTTAGCCCAAGGTATAGTGGAGTTTGCTTTGCTTTGCTTTGGTTTTAATCACAAAATTATTATTTCAAGGGGGTCCCAGGTGTAATAATTATCCTGCAGACCAAGCAGCTCTTGTTTTTTTGTTTTTTTTTTTCCCTGACTTTTGTGTAGTTAAATTATTTTGCCTCCTTTATTCCCTGTGTTGAATGCATCTCCATTTTTTTAGGTTTTCCATTGATTCAGTCTGCATTGTGTGAAAGAGTTGTTTCTAAAAATGTGAAATTCAGCCCTGAAAACTCTCAGTGCATTGTCCTGCTTAAAATGAACACAGGAAAACATGGAGCAGAGTGATTTTTTTGTGCATTATTATATTTGGATAAAAATATTGTCTTCTGATAGGATCTTAGTGGAGAAAATCATCAGAGCTGGGAGAATGAAAGAGCTGAGACCTGTCCTAGGCTCTGGTGTAGCTGATTTTGCTGTGATGGGAACTGGGAGTTAATTCCTTGAGGATCTGGCAGCCCTGATCTCCACCTTCCTATTTTTTATCCTTCATACTTATGGCAGTGAAGCTGGAAATTAAAATAATGGGAGATCCAGACTCAAAAGCATCCACGTGCTGTGTTATCCTCGAGGGCAGAGTTATCCCTTGGAGTGTCCACATGGCTTCCAGCTCCATCCAGGCTGGAGCTGGATGTATCCATGTCCAGTTTGTTCCAGCTGGATGTGGGAGCCCATCAGGAGGAGCAAACTGGAGATTCCTGGGAGCCAGAAAATCCTGAGCATTTTAGACTCGAAGGCAAAACGACAGCCCCAAAAGCAGCACAGAGAAAGCAGTGTTTGTGTGAAATATGCATTCTTAGCTTAGCAATTCTGTTCTTTTGGATGATTTTTTTAATGTAACAACATGAAATGCTTTTGAACAGGGCTCGGCTCCTAATTGTAATGGAGATGATGGAAGGGGGAGAGCTCTTCCACAGAATCAGCCAGCACCGGCACTTTACTGAGAAGCAAGCGAGCCAAGTAACAAAGCAGGCAAGTCACCCCCTGTCCCAGCAAATCCATCATGCTCTGGCTAAAGTAGGGACAATTCCTGGGGCTGGAAGGGTGGGAAAAAAGGATGAATTAAAAGATTCCTCAGTTGTGATCCGATGATCATTGCCTGCTTTGTTATAAGTGACAATGCCAAAGCTTTACTAGGAATAAAGGATTGAAGGTGTGGGCTTGTTCTCTGGGTCTGCTGTGCTTAACATTGCTTTTCCACACCTGGTCTAGAGAAGACTTCCAAGAAAACTTTGTCATTCTTCTTGTCTTAAAAGTGTTGCCTCCAGCAGGACTCCTGAGCTCTGGAACCCCCGTGACCCCCTTGGCATTTCTCTCCTCTGGGCCAGGGGTTTTCAGGCTGGGTTCTGGGCTTGGGCTGTGGAATTCCTGGAAGATACCAAGGAATGTGTCTGTTTGTTCTGATTTTGTGTCTGTTTGTTCCAGTGTTGTTTTTCCTTCACCCTTTCTCTCCCAGCTCACTCCTGAATGATTTTATAACCTCCATGGTGGTTTCTGCAGGGGGTTTTGGCCTCCATCAGGTTTTTTGTTGCTGGTGGGGACTCTCAGAAGGATCTCTGTGGAATTCAGTGCTGGGATCCCCAGTTCCCCTCAGATGGAGAGAGAATGTTTGAACCTGGGGCAAAAAATCTGTGTTGCTTTTGTGCTTTGACTTGTTCCTAATGAAATGCTAATTGTGCTGGTACTTTTTGGTCTCATCCAACAAAGAAATGAGGTGGAAGTACAGAATTATTCTTGCCAGTTTGTTTGACATCCTTTGGGCTGTTTGATTCTGCCATGGTGGGGAAGACTTGTAAAACTTTAGCAGAAGTCAAGACTTTGGTTTGAATTCTGTGTGTACACTTGGGTTATTCATGTCTCAAGTAACTCTTTGCTTTAATGTTTATAGAAATGAAGTTTGAAATGTGAAAATATCTCTAAAATTCTTTTCTCTGGTGGTTCTTCATCCTTGTCTTGTACCCAGGAATGGTTAAAGCTTTTCACAGCACTGCCTCATTTTCTCTGGGAATGTGTTTGTATTTATTGCTGAGCTAAATTAGTAGTGCAGTTCTCTTGTAGCAGTAATTTGGAGGTTTTTAAGGACTCTAAACTTGGGTAGGATCCTACAGAATCCCACAGGGATACTTCCAAATAAGGGTTGTGAGGCTGTGCCTCACTCCTCTCTCTGTTTAAATATTTATACTTGGCTTTTCTTTAAATGAATTGCACTTGGAAATGTGCAGTCCCTGGAGCTTTTCCTGCCTGGATTGCAGGTTCCCAAAGCATCCTTGAAACAATCCAGGAATGCATTTCTGTGGGATATCCACAGAATGATTGAAGTGCAGGCAGTACCATCCAAAATGAAAGAACAAAACTGCCTGAGTGTTGGATCTCCAGGCAGGAACAAGTGCACTGAATGATTCCCTGCAATCCTGAAGCAAGAACTCACTGCTGGGCAGGGGCAGCACCCTGGAGCCCTGGCACAGCAGGGGAGGGGCACTGGCACCACCTGCTTCACTTTGGGGGGCTCTCAGTGCCTTGAGTTCCCAAACTGAGGAGGTTGGGGAGCCCAGGCCTGCCTGGCTTTTGTTTTCTGTGGGATTCATGTCCCAGCTGTCACTTGGCTGCATCACTGCAGCAGGGTCAGGCTTGTCCTAAAGGAGATCTCCACCCAAGTGGAGTGAAAAGGTTTGGGGCTGGAAATGTCCTTTGTAAAGCTGAAATAAATGTCCAGGCTGCAGGAGGAGGTCAGTGATTGTAGCTGATTTATTGTGCCCTTTTCCAGATAGCTTTGGCTTTGCAGCATTGCCACTCACTAAACATTGCACACAGAGACCTCAAGCCTGAGAATCTCCTCTTCAAGGATAACTCTCTGGTAAGATGAACATTTGCAATTCTTTTGCTGCTGAATTCTGTCAAGTGGCTCAAGGGTGACTCTCAGAGTAGTGGTAAAATGACATGAATGGTTTGGTGACAAAATTGAATCACCTGGATGGACTTGGTGCTTTTCCATCCTCTGATCTCCTTGCAGGGCAGTGAGTCCCTGCTGCTGCTGTTAAATAGGAGTCAGGTTCTCCACCTGACCTCAGAATCCAGCTGTGCCCCCTCATCAGGATGTTCTGACCCTCTGCCTAGAGGTTCTTTGATAGATCCAAACAATTCTTTGTCTCTCCTGCTCACCACCAGCCTGGATGTGCAGTGATCCTCCTACAAGGGGCTCAGTGCTTTCCCAATTCCTGAGGGGGCTGTTCCTGGCCCAGAGCACCCAGAAAAGCAAAGCTTTTGTTTTGAGAGATCACTTTGTGACCTTTCAGCTGCCTGGTGGAGTGTGAGGGTATAAATACAATGAGGTGGATGTTTGGAGAAGGTGAGATGAGGACAGGGGGAGAATTCTGTGTTAGAAAAGCTGATTTAATGAGATTTGTCTAATAAAGCCTCTTCTTGTTTTAGGATGCACCTGTTAAATTGTGTGACTTTGGGTTTGCCAAAGTAGACCAAGGTGACTTGATGACACCCCAGTTCACTCCCTATTATGTAGCACCTCAGGTAACAGCCAGTTCCTGCTCTGGGCTAAAGGGGGATCATTTATTGCCTGAGCCTCCATATCCCCATCATTTTAACCCCCTTTGCTGCCCTGGGAAGGGCTCTGAGTGCAGGAATCTTGCAGGAATCCTTCCACTCTGAGCTGGAGTGCCACAGGGATCTGTGGATAAGGCAAATTTCCCAGACTCTGCTCAGCACTGATGGTGACAGTTGGCCTTTAGCTGTATTAAAGCAGCTGCTTTGGAGAATTCCCTGCTTTGCCACCCTTCCTCCAGCTCAAGCTCATTCAGGATTCCATTAAAAAGGAGTTGGCTGGAAGAAAAAGGTTCTGAAAAGGTTGCTCACAAAGGGCAGTGGCAGAGGGTTGGTACCTGGGCACCTTGGCCTGGCCCCTCAGTCATTAAATACAATCTGTAATTACACACAGGCTGCTCTTTGTAGTGCTGCTTTCCCCCTCTCTCCTGTCCTTTGTGTTGGAGTCCTGGAGAAAATGAAAAGCAACTGCAGATGGAGATTTAATTGCAGTGCTGGGCTGCCTTCAATCACTGGGAAGAGCAATTCAGAGATCAGAGCAGGCCCTGAAAATTCATAAAATTCCTTCCCAGCTGGAGCCTGCTGGGGCTCCCTGCAACCCAAACCCACAGACTGGGCCAGCAAGGGACACATGTGATGGGATTTGTGCTGGGGAGGCAGAAAGGGACAGCTCTGAGCTTGGGTTACCCTCCAGACACACTTCAGGTTCTGGTTCCAAGCATGGAGGGGTTGGAGGTTCTGAACAACTGCTTTAATTCAGACAGAAATGGAGATTTCAGTGCCCTGAAATATTCTATATTTTAGTATTTTCTCCATGTAGAAAGCTCTAGTGTTTCTTAGGGAGATTAACTGGATTTTGGTAGTTTTCAGTAGCTGGAATAAGTTTTCTGAATGGAAAATCATCAGGAATCTTTGGTATAGGCTTTGCTGGTTGTGTTGCCTGTTCATGAGATGGATTTTTCTTTGGTTTTATTTCCCTTCTCACCAGGTATTGGAGGCACAAAGAAGACATCAAAAAGAAAAGTCTGGTATTATCCCCACCTCTCCAACCCCTTACACTTACAACAAGGTGAGCTGGGAAACATCTTTAAAATTCTTCCCCACCCCACTGGTGCTTCTGATAGAGCAAATAATAAAATGCACACTGGGTGCAAACCTAATTAATGAGCCTCTAATGAAGGGGGGATAAATACACAAATGCTCTTAAGGAGCACTAAATATGAACAAGATTTTGGAGAGAGTAGAAGGACTCTGCTGGAGTGAGGCCATGAGGGAAGTTCTTTCACCTCTGTTCAAAGGGAATCTCTTTCCTGCTGCCACAGTTTCTGGATGTGCAGAGCATTCCTCGTTCAGGCAGCTGTGCCAGAAACTGCTCTGTACCTGGATCTTCTGGAAAACAACCAAAAATTTATTGTGTATCTGCTGGTATCTTGGAAAAATCATGGCAGGAAATGTCCTGAAAGGCCATAATCTTTTATAGGCATCCAAAATGTTTTCCTCCTTATTATCATCCCAGTTTCCTGCTGCCTGAGCAGTGCTTGAATCACTGAGTGTGCAGGGTGTGTCAGTTTTAATCCAAGTTACCTGATTTGTGATCCCAGAGTGGGGATCTGCCCTGATTCCAGCTCTAGGGGTGGTTGTTTATTCCACCACGTGCCTGAACAGGTATTTGATATGCAGTGTTAGCATTTAGTAGCCTCACAGAGAGAGTTAAAGCAAGTATTAATTAGTCTGCATCACAGATCTGCCTTCCTCAGGGCTCTGAGTGCCTCTCTCCATCCTGCAGAGCCAGGTTGGTGATTGTAGCAGACAACTCTGCTTCTGAACTCCTTAGAATGTTTTCCTATGGAGTTTCTTCTTTTCCCTCTCTTGTCCCTTGATTTGGGATTTCCAGGGTGGGAGTGATTTTCCTTCCATGTCCCATGTGAAGAATTGCTCTGTCAGCCCTGGTGGCACTGGGTGAAAAGGGTGCTGAGGGAAGAGCCTTGTCCCCAGGTGTGGTTCTGCAAAAGCAGCACCTGGCACTCACCTGGCTGCCCAGAATGGGCACTGGGAGCTTCCAGGTGCTCTGTGCTTCCATGGCAGGCCAGTCCTGCTCCTGGCTGCCCCCACAGACTGCTCTGATTTCATTTCCCTGCTGTTCCTTTGTGGGATGGTTGTTCTGCTTTCAGTCTCCCGTTGTAAACAACTGGATTCTTTTATGGGATTGGGGGTAGGATTCAGGTATCCTGAGAGGTGCAATAAAGCTCTCACACCTCTGCAGCCCTGGCTGTTCCCAGACAATCCCCAACCACCTGGAAGTTGTTCAGCTTGGAGGAAGGAGCTGCCTTGTCACAGCAGCCAGATTTATCCACCAGGGTGGATCTGGAGGAGGAGCTGAGCTGGTTCTGTTCCCTTAGAGAATCACACAGAACTTTTATCAGAACTCCCTCATTATTTGCTGCAAACTGCTCCCCAAAGTGACCCTTTCCTTGCTTGCAGAGCTGTGACCTGTGGTCCCTGGGGGTGATTATCTACGTGATGCTGTGTGGGTACCCCCCCTTTTACTCCAAGCACCACAGCCGGACGATTCCCAAGGACATGAGGAAAAAGATCATGACAGGAAGCTTCGAGTTCCCAGAGGAGGAGTGGAGCCAGATCTCAGAAATGGCAAAAGACATTGTGAGAAAGTGAGTCCTTGGAGGAAACTCTGGTGTTGCTCTGTGGTTGTGTTAAGGAATTGGAATGTTTCCATGTTGAGGAAGTGGAAAAGCACCTGGAAGTGCCTTGTCCCAGCAGAGAGGATTGTCTGCAGCTCATCCAGCTGACAAATTCTCTTGTTATATTCAGCATAAATCAAGTCTGGGAAATGTCTTCTTTTCCCCCTGCCCAAGTGTTTAATGTTGGTGTCTCTTTTGTTGGGGTGAATTGTGTATTGAGTCTTCAAGGGGAGTGGGAGCACTGAATGGTTTCTGGATAACACAGCTGGCATGGATTTCCTGGGATAACACTTGAATTCCTGTGAAAATCAAGTGCCCTTAATGGGATGTGGTAAATCTTTCCCCTAAAGCCCTGTGCACATCATACACAGCCTAAAAAGAGTCAGGCAGGAGGATGGAGAGGGAGATTAAGATCTGTCATGAGGTGCCAGACTCAGATAAGGTTTTGCATGGATGTTTTATTCCAAATGCTAATGGAGTCTGTTTTCCATGCAGGGCACATCCCTCAGCTGGGAGTGTTTCAAAGACTTGGTCTGTTTGGGAGCAAGAACGTGGCACTGATTAGGGCTTGACCTCACTTATTTTTGAAAAAGTGACAGGGACTTACTGCCTTTGCATCACCAGAGGAGCTGAGAGAATAAAAGCGATATAACTAGGGAAAAAAATCAGTTGGGGAAGTAATTTAAAAGTGTCACTGGCTCCTGAGAGGTACTGTAAATTCTCCAAGGATTCACATTGTTTGGAGAGGGTGCTGGGACCTTTTTAGAGCTGTGCAGGAGAACCCCCAACCCTTCACCAAATTAACTTTCCTTTATACCAAGGTCAGCTCTTTATTCTCACACAGAAACTCCACAGGCAAAAGGTTTCATTGTCTTTCAAAATTCCCATGAAACTCAGCTCTCAGGATGTTGTCACATGGATCCAGGCTGATTTCTGACCTCAGGCTTGATGAGGGTTTGATAATGGCTTAGGATTTGGGAAATGCATGGAAAAGGAATGCACGTGGCTGGTATCAAAAGTGAGCTTAACCTGGTTGGCAGCAAGTGAGATTTCTGCTCTCCCCCGTGGTGCTGCTGACATTTTGTACAAGTTATTTCCACTTTCTTGGTACATTAAACAATTGTGCTCTGCAGCCAAGAAGCTGATCTGGAGTTCTCTAAGGAAGTGTGACAAGCTCATGGAGTCATTCCCATTCTCATTCAGACTTTGGGATGACTTGTCAGCACTTTGTGGGAAATCTTGCTTTTTTATTTAGTTGTACCCATCATGAGAACACAAATTTATCTGCAAATCTTCTTTCCAGAGTTTCATGCTGGAAAAGAATTGATTTAATGGAGTTTTCAGCAATCTTGGAATAAAGTTGCTTTTTATTTTAAGGGGCTGGAACCAAAGTGTTCATTACTTGAGAACTTTGCAGGGAGGAGTGGCATGGTTGGGCATGGAAACTCTGCAGGATTCATTGCTCCCAAGTCCTTGGCATGGGTGTAACCTGTTCTGGGGATGAGCTCAGAGAGTGTCAGCCTGGATCATTTCCAGTTCCCCTGGAGGGTGATTTCCCACCTGGGAGCAGCAGCTGTGGAATTCAGCAGCACAGGGCTACCCCAGGAATGCCTTTAGCACCTCCCTTTGCCCTGAGTGCTGGATTGCCCTGGATGAGCTGTGACAGCATCAAACCACAGCAAGGTCAGGGAGCTGGGACAGATTTTGGGCTCATTTTGGGGCAGTTTGAGCTCTTGGCAAAGCTGCTTTTTTTGGCCTTTAAAATGCTTAAATGCTCTGTAAATCAACAAACCCTTTCTTAGGGATTTATTCTTTCCTCCCCAGGCTGCTGAAGGTCAAACCTGAGGAACGTCTGACCATTGAGGGGGTGTTGGACCATCCCTGGCTCAATTCCACTGAGGCCTTGGACAACATCCTGCCCTCTGCCCAGCTGATGATGGACAAGGTCTGAGCAGCAGTTATTTGGTCAGGAATGTTGCAGAGGAGCAGGAGAGCTCTGGGATGGGTGAAGGGCTTTTTTGATGTGGCATTATACAGATAAGGAGCTTCTCTTCTGCTTTAGGAGAGCCTGAGATTGCAGGGAGAAAATGGAAACAGAAGTGAAAAGGGAAATAAAATGTGAAATTTGGGCTTGAAGGAGATGCTCCCAGATTGGTGTAATGAGAGTGCTGATGGCAGAAAGCAGAGCCTGAGGGATCTTCCATAGGTCTTTCCTCCTCTGCCATGTTTTATCCCCACTACAGCAATGACCTCACTAATTAAACAAATACTCCTTGTTTCCTTTAATTTCTGCTCAAAGTCAATCTTGTGAACATGAGAAGGAGATGATCCTTTGTGCTGTTTCCCCCAGGGATATTTTGTCCCTGATTAACTGTACCTTGCTTCATGCAAACCTGACTTTTCTTGCACATCTCAAAAATAAATCGGATTTTGGTGCCTCGTTTTTTCGCCCATGGCAAACACTGTCCATGTGTTGTTGCACCAAGTGTCCCTTTTGTCTTTCCAGGCCATGGTGGCAGGGATCCAACAGGCTCATGCAGAACAACTTGCAAACATGAGAATCCAAGACCTCAAAGTGAGCCTGAAGCCCCTTCACTCCGTGAACAACCCGATCCTGCGCAAGCGGAAACTCCTGGGGTAACTCCAGAGCTGGGCTTGGAAGGACAACGTGGAGCCAGCTGGGGTGGCTGGGAAATGGCTTTGGGAATGGCACAGGCTCAGTTGTGATGGTTTAACACAATTCTGGTGTTGCTCAGACAAGTAATAGTGGCACAATGTGGTTTTTCTGCCAAGATGTGCCAGTGAGGGCAGGAAGGAGGTTGGACACTGTTCCTGCATTGAACAGATTCCTTTTGGGATGATGGGTCACATGTAACATAAGGCAAACTGGGAGAAAGAATTCCAAGATATTTTTTTTCATCCTGACATTTATTTACTGAAGAAGTTAGGTAAACTCTCTCTTTGTTTGAGTTAATCTGAAAAATAGACTCAAACGTTTTAGGATTACCCTTATTTGAAGTAATTTAAAGGAATATTTCTTTTTCTCCATACTTAAAATGATCTCATAATATAGGACAAGAATTATAATTAATGCTGAACCTGTCTCCCAGTTTCCCAGAGAGGGAAGGAGCTGTGTTAGACTGGAGCAGTTACACAACAAGTAACGAGCTTGAGCTGCACCCAAATTCTAATTATTTCCCCCTTGTTCTTGTGCAGCACCAAGCCAAAGGATGGTGTTTACATCCATGACCCTGAGAATGGAAGCAACGATTCCAACGTGGCTCTGGAGAAGCTGAGAGATGTGATTGCTCAGTGCATTCTACCACAGGCTGGTAAAGGTTGCCACTTTTAAGAACCTTTTATTCCTAAAAGTGCAAGGCCCCGACTTTGGGTCTGCCTGTGTCAGTGGTGAGGAAGGAAGAGAACTCCTGGGCAGCCTGTGAGCTGGGGTTTGGGTTCATGTGGAATTTTAGTGACATGCAGAGCTGTTAAAAGAACTTTCAAACAGGAATATTTGGTTTAAAAGCCATTTCCTGGTTTGTGTGGGGTCAGCAGGAATAACTGCCCAGTTTGCTGAGCCCTGAGTGAGGCACAAGTCCAAACCTCCTGTGTCCCTTGTTGTCCCAAACAGGAGAGAATGAAGATGAGAAGCTGAATGAAGTGATGCAGGAGGCCTGGAAATACAACAGGGAGTGCAAATTGCTGCGAGACACCCTGCAGAGCTTCAGCTGGAATGGTGAGAATTCCTGCTCTCCCACAGGGAAGGTGGAAAAGGGGGAAGCACAGACCTCCTGCTATGGAAATAACCCCAAATGTATTGGATTTGGGCTGATTTAGGTTTTGACACTGTTTCATCCCTTCTGCCAGAACTGGTGTTCCCAAAGTGTTGCTTTGAGATTTCTGTTTGAGGGTCAGGGTTGAGTTTTCAGAGGCACCAGGAATGTAACAGCACAAATGGATCATGATAGAAAAGGGGGAATATTAAACTGAGGGCAGGGATAGATGGGATATATGCAAAAAACCCTTCCCTGAGAGGGTGGGAAGGCCCTGGACAGGTTGCTCACAGAAGCTGTGGCTGCCCCATCCCTGGAAGTGTCCAAGGAGGGGTTGGATCAGCCTGGGAGAGTGGGAGGTGTCCCTGGCCCAGGTGACCTTTAAGGCCCTTTCCAACCATTCCAGGATTCTGTGATCCTTTTAGGAACCTCTTCAGCTGTGTTGAGCTGCTTTCCATCCAGCTGTTTATTCCCTCTTTCTGCTGGAGGCTGCTCCTCCCTGTCAGCTCTGCAGCTCAGCTTGGGTGGGAAGCAGAAAGAAACCAGGACAGGCACCTTGGAGTGCTCAGGTGGCTCCTGGACAGAAGAGGCTGCAGAGGTGTCAGCCCCCAGGAGCAGGATGGATGTAAGGGACCAGGAGCATCAGCCAGCTTCACAAGGGCTTGATCCTGCTTCCTCCTGTTCTATTTGCTTAGCTTTCATTGAGATCTTTAATTGCTCCATTTTTTCCAACAGTCTGTAAGTTCTTTTGGATCCTGTGCTGCTGTTGCCTTAAGTCTGTGTGAAGCATTGTTTAATTCCAGCTGGGATTGCTTTCCTCCTTGTGCCCAGCTCCACTGATTCCCTTTTTTTTCCCCTTGCAGGCAGAGGATTCACAGACAAAGTGGATCGACTAAAACTGGCAGAAATCGTCAAACAAGTGATTGAAGAGCAGACAAATTCCCACGACTCTCAATAGCTGGAGCTTCTTAATCTTATTTTTTTTACCATTTAAGATTTATTCTTTAACTGTAAAAAGTATTTTTATGTAAATTAATAAATCATAATTATTTCATTAAATTTCCATACTGCTTGAAAATGCTGTATAGTTGTAGATACAAAAAAAAAAAATCATTGGTACTGTAATATTTTTTTAAAACTCAGTTCCTCGAGGTATATATGATCACTTATGTACTGTTAATCATGAGCCCCACAATTGGGGTGGATTTTATTGTTAAAAACCATTCTTTTTCTTAATAACCAGTTGCAGAAGCTGCCTTTCACCTGCCACATCCAGCCCCTGCAGTGACTGTATACGAAGGAGAGCCACAGTTTCTCAAGCCCCTGCTCAGTGAGTACTTGAAGCAAGTGCTGTGAAATGCAAATTCACAGCTCCCTTTGGCACCTAAATTCCAGGTCTTTAGGTAGAGAAAAATCAATTAAATACCCTTCAGTTTGGCTTGGTGCCTGGCCCAGGCACCTGAGGCCATGTGCTTGCTGAAATTTTCAGTTCTGAGCAGTGACTCTCTTTTTTTGTCATCTTCCCCATCTCCCTCAGACCTTCTTTAAGGCTTAACCTCCTCTCTTTCTTTCTCCTCATCTTCCTCAGAGCTTTTTTAAGGCTGAATCAGCCATTCAGCACAAAACTCTTCTTTTTCTCACCTTGTCCAACAGCAGAGCAGAAGAATGTTCAAGTCTTTATGCACAAGTTCTTTTCATTTCCATGGTGGGTTCTTCTATGGACCGAGACCAGCCTGGGCTTTGTTTGTGTGGGATCCACCCCCATATTCCCATTCTTTCCTTCCTAGAAGATCCAAGGCTTGGGTTCTGACTTGTCCTCTTGTTTGGCAGAGCTGCTCCCAGGCAGGTTCCCAGTGCTCTGGGATTTCAAACCCCTGGGATTTGTCTCTGGAGCCCAAATTCCCGTCTCTGATGCCTTCGAGCTCCTTCTTGGGGGAGCCACAACTGCAGGGCTGCTCCCTGCTCCCCAGGGCAGGTTCTTACTCTAGTCTGGAACATTGGCTCCAAAAGCTGCTTTTTTAAATCCTGATAAAGCAAACCAATGGCAAGAATCTGTACATAGTTCTAGTTTTCTACCTTTTCTGCTTCTCTTTCTTTCGAGATCGGGCGGAGGCTTTTTATAGAGCTATTTTGGTACCAAATCCGTGCAGACGTCGGGTGAGTCTGGTCTGCAGACTGAAGTGCCAACCCAGGGCCATCAGTGACCACTCCTCAACGTTGTTGTCTTTCACAGCTCGTCCATTTTTGGGTTTACATTGACAAACCTGAGCCATGAATCTCCCAGTTCTCTCCTACAAAAGTCCAGCCTTGTTCTTTTTTTTGTCTCTTTTCTATACCAAAATTTCCTTGCAGCTTTAGCTGGATGGCAAAGCAGTGTCTGACTCTTTCTATACAATTTTCTAAACGGTGACTTGTTTTTTCTACATGAAGGAGATGCTTTGTTTCCTGTTCTCTGTCAGCTTTCCTTAATCCTGTGGACAGTTTTCCAATGCCTGATGTATTGCAGGGTAAGAACAGTCCCTGCTTTTCCATCCTCTGATGGGAGCAGGGAGTTTCTGTGAGCTACAATTGTACTTCTGACACTACCTGGAATATTTGTGCACTGACCTGTTGATGAAAACTGAAGAGAATTAGCAAAAAATGAGAGTTTTTGTCAATTTTTTGGCTGTACCACCAAGCCCTGTTATGTGCATTTCTGTCCTTGCTCTAATTCTAGGTCATGTCTTGAAATGATTTCATTTTGGACTTGAAATCCATGTATTTCTGAGGAATTGAAACTTTCAAGTGTGGCAGATAGAGATGGAAACAAGGAAATCACCTTTGTTTGAATGGCAGAGCAAAAAAAAAAAAAAATCCTCTCCAAAAGCACTTTGTGACTCTGCCCTCCCAGGAGGAAAATCCTCAGGCAGTTTTTTGGGAGTCAGAATTTGTTGGAAGTGCAGTCAGAGGGGAAGGTGGGATCTGGTGTGTGTTGGAGGATTCCTCCTTTTCTTCATCCCTTAAGTGCTGCTGATCCTGAGGTGGGAACATTTGTACAAATTCCAAGGGCTTTTGATGGATTTAATCTGCATTTTCTTGTCTGTGATAAATAAGGGCCTGATTTGAAGCAGAGGGAGGAGGGACAGATTAAGAAAACACAATTTGAAGACTCAAGGTCAAATGGTTTTGTTTCTATGAGAAAGTTGATTTTTTTACTCTTGGAAAAGTTCTGTTTTACATTTCAAAGTTCAATAACTTTAATGGATTAATATATGTGTTTGAAAGTAGCATTTGACTTTCTCCTTCCTGTGTTTAGTTTATTTTTCAGTTGAAGCAAGTGCAAGACACCTTGTCTTGATTCTCTGAAGCTTGACTTGGTAATAAATCTACTGATCCTTTATAGCAGACTGTGAATATTGTAAATACCTTGAGCTGGAAGTGTGGGATCAAAGAAGAATTTCTTTGTACAAACACTAAAAATATGTGGGAAAGCTCTGGAGGTTGTTGGGTTTTGGGTTTTTTTTTTAGAATTTTATTTAAATGAAGAAAAATGTCTGAAATCATTTGACCTTTTCAAAATTTTCTGTATAACTGGCTTCTCCTGTGACTTGATTATTTGAAGCTTTTCTATATATATTAAAATTAGGAGAACCTGATTAGTGAAAGAGATTTTGATTGGAAATAGCAACATGTCAAACTTTTGCTGTCATTACTTCTGGATTTTCTTTTGGAAACCTGAGTCTGTCCCCATGTTTAACTCCTGTGTGTTAAGATGTTCTCATTTCTCCTCTCAGTGTTCCCTGTTAGTTCCTTTTGGATCAGTATTACATTGTAAATATTACCCATCCTGTATATAAATGATTTTACTAAACTCAAAAGTTCCTTGCTGCTTTTGTTTCGTTCCCAAATCCCTGCAGGAGAGAAGGAAGGAGTGGGAGGGAAGAGCAGGAAGATTCTCCTGCCACCCTGCTTTTCCCTGGAAGTGTCCAGAAGGTGTGGATGCAGCACTTGGGGATGTGGTTAGTGGTGAACACAGTGGTGCTGAGTTAATTTCTGGATTTGATGGTCTTAGAGGGCTTTTCCAGCCTTAGAGATTCCATGATTCCATTATTCTCCCACCCTCAGCCCCCCATCCCACCTCCCTTATCCATAGGAATAAACACTTGAATGAAGATTTGAGATGACAGGCTGGATAAATCCCTAGGAAATCCTGGGCTCTGCTTGGCAAATAAGCCAAAATTGCCTTTTTTAAGCCCAGCTTTCCATCAGATGGCACCAGCAGCTGCCCAGTGCTCCCAGTTAACCCCTGAGGGCTGTGGGGTTGGACTGGGCAGTCAGGGAAGGCAGGGATGAGTCCTTCTGTCTTCAGGGACACTGGGAATAACACCCAGATCCTCTGGGCTGGTGATCCTTGCAGGTGGTTGAGGTGGGAGCCCTGCTGGAGTGGGGGACACTGGGTGGTGAGAAATGGATCTGCTTTGTTGCTGATGGCCCTGTGCTTTTCCAGGGCCAGGGAGGTCTTCCCTCACCTCTCTGGACAGAGCCTCAGGGTGGCACTTGGGCCCTTCCTGCCTCTGGAAGTGGTTTTGTTATCCTGAGCAGGGCTTGGTGACAGGAAACAGACACACCCTTGGCCCAGGAGCATTTCAGGACACAAGATGGGGCAGTTGTGAGAGCTCAGGCTCCTTCCTTGTAACAGAATTTTCCTCTGCTTGGTGCCTTAGGGGACTTCAGAGTGGGTTGGGTGGTGAGAGACCCTCAGAGCCTCCAGACTGGGAAAGGGACTGAGGGAACAATTTCCTGGAAGCACTTAGAGCAGCCAAGCCAGCTGTGAGTGCCCATGGAATGGCTCTTTCCAGCAAGAAAACTCCCCTCAAACAAACAGTGAGGGGCTGCTGAGCTGTGTGAGGAGCCCTGGGAATGTGTCAGCCCCCACTGCCAGCTCTGATGCTCCATTAGCAATCCAATCATTGTTTCCTGAGTAATCTTCCATCACTTAGGAAGCCTTAATCCCCTTTTAAACAAATTGCACTGGCTCCACAAATGGGGTCAGTCCCAGGAGGGTGTAGGAGGCTCTCAGGGATGAGACTGAGTGTGTTTCATGCCCTGCCAGTGCCAGGGCACAAATCCCATCCTCCCTGTGGAATATTTGCCTTTGAAGTGGGGCTGGACAGAGTCACCCATGTCCAAACTTTGGAGCTAGAGGAGGATTTGAAAGACCAGGTGGAAGAAGATGGCTGAAAACTTTGTTTTTATCCTGTAGAACAGCAAAATTGAATTGTTGCACTCAGTTTCACTCTGTAGGAGAAAATAAGTCATTGACCAAACCTCCAGGGCCCTTGTGTGACTTACCCAGAGTTTACACAGTTATGTTGTGTAAGTTAATTACACAAAGCTGGAGTATTTCCTCTTCTTGTCTAACCTGCTATGAGAAAAATTTGGGTTGGACCAAAAACGTGAAGCTGTTGGAAAATAAAGAGTGTAAAGGTAAAGAGTTGTTGTCAAGACAGCTTAAGACCTGGTTTATTTCCTACAGAATGGTGGGACCTCAGTAAATAATTCATGTGAACATCTGGAAATGCAAAGAGAGATTCAGACAAAGTCCTGCTCACCTGGTTCATGAGAGATGCTCCACAGGGTCGAAGCAGCTGATTTTTGGGAGTATTGTGGCTGAGCAGGAAGTTGGCAGGAAGAAGGAAAGGGAAATGTGCAAAAATTCCAGGCAGGTTTTGTCCTTTGCAATTCTTCACTCCCTGCAATTGGTTCTTAGGGTGGTGCAAATTCTCGTGGTTAGAGTGAATTAAAAGGCAGAGATTGAAAAATACTCATTTTGCTTTTGTTAAAGGCAATGACTTGGAGAAATAAAACAAAGTAAAACATCCTCTGCTCAACCTCCGTGGAGCTGGACCAGGTCTCTGAGCCTTTCCATGTGGTTTGCTGCACTTCTAGGGATATTTCCAGGAGGAGAAAGTCTGGACTAAAGATTTACCACGCTGAAAGAATCCATCAAATAAATAACTACGTCCACTGAGCGCCTGGGGCTCGGGCCCGAGGGACAGTTCCCTCCCGGCTCTGGAGAAGGAGGAGTAGGAAGGATTCTGCCTCTCTCCCTCCAGGCAGGGCAGCATCAGAGCAGGGTGGAGGAGGAGCCCGCGGTGTCGGGCGGGCCGGCGGGGGCTGTGCTGGAGTAGAACTTCTTCTGGGAGCGCAGGAGCGGGGTCTGCGTGTCCACATCCCGCCGGGAGCCGCGCTTCAGGGACAGGAACGCGTGCTGGGTCCAGCCGTACACCAGGCAGTTCAGGAGCCCCTGGGAAGCTGCGGTGAGAGCCTGGGAGAGAGCACGGGGAAATCAGGGATCCCTGGAAAACCTCCCCCTCCCAGCAGGATTTCAGCTTCCGTGTGATAGAGAAATTGTGCTGTTATTTTAAGAAATGTTTCATGAATATATAATTAAATATAAATGCTATACAAGTACAGAATATATATTAAATATGTTTATATATAATTTCTATATAATTTAATAAAATGTCTAACTTCTGCCTCAGGCACAGGAAGGAGGTGGACAAGTGAGGAATTATTAAGGAATCACATTGAGAGACTTGGGGACATAGGATCCCCAGAAATTGGTTTTGTTTTCCCTTTCTGGTCCTATTTGCCACAATTTCCATGAGCACAGAATCAGTGAGGTTGGAAAAGACCTTTGAGGTCACCAAGTCCAAACATCCACCCAGCACCCTGTTCACCACTAAACTATTGTGGTGCTGTGTTAATTTGTAAAGGCAATGACTTGGAGAAATAAACCAAAGTAAAACATCCTCTGCTCAACCTCCGTGGAGCTGGACCAGGTCTCTGAGCCTTTCCATGTGGTTTGCTGCACTTCTAGGGATATTTCCAGGAGGAGAAAGTCTGGACTAAAGATTTACCACGCTGAAAGAATCCATCAAATAAATAACTACGTCCACTGAGCGCCTGGGGCTCGGGCCCGAGGGACAGTTCCCTCCCGGCTCTGGAGAAGGAGGAGTAGGAAGGATTCTGCCTCTCTCCCTCCAGGCAGGGCAGCATCAGAGCAGGGTGGAGGAGGAGCCCGCGGTGTCGGGCGGGCCGGCGGGGGCTGTGCTGGAGTAGAACTTCTTCTGGGAGCGCAGGAGCGGGGTCTGCGTGTCCACATCCCGCCGGGAGCCGCGCTTCAGGGACAGGAACGCGTGCTGGGTCCAGCCGTACACCAGGCAGTTCAGGAGCCCCTGGGAAGCTGCGGTGAGAGCCTGGGAGAGAGCACGGGGAAATCAGGGATCCCTGGAAAACCTCCCCCTCCCAGCAGGATTTCAGCTTCCGTGTGATAGAGAAATTGTGCTGTTATTTTAAGAAATGTTTCATGAATATATAATTAAATATAAATGCTATACAAGTACAGAATATATATTAAATATGTTTATATATAATTTCTATATAATTTAATAAAATGTCTAACTTCTGCCTCAGGCACAGGAAGGAGGTGGACAAGTGAGGAATTATTAAGGAATCACATTGAGAGACTTGGGGACATAGGATCCCCAGAAATTGGTTTTGTTTTCCCTTTCTGGTCCTATTTGCCACAATTTCCATGAGCACAGAATCAGTGAGGTTGGAAAAGACCTTTGAGGTCACCAAGTCCAAACATCCACCCAGCACCCTGTTCACCACTAAACTATTGTGGTGCTGGGATTTTGGGTACTGAGACCTTTTCAAGCCTGTGAAAAACATAAACCACCAAACCAAGATCTTTGCCAAGCAAAAGCACAAATCAGACTTGGGCTCACACAGCAGAGATCCTTGTCCAGCTGCATTCAGCAGGGATGCAGGGCAGGAGGCTCAAGGTGAGAAGGGAGGAGGCTGCAGGGGCAGACATTTACCTGCAGGATCAGCAGAGCCATGTAGATTTTGCTGGTTGTTGAAGCAGTCAATTTCAGCATTCCAAGGACGACAGCTGTGGAAAGGGATGGATGAGAGGGTGAAGTTAACCCCACCTCTCTGGGGTTCCACAGGGGGATGCTGTGGGAGGAACTCTCTGCTCACCTGGGGCCCAGCAGCAGAAGAAGGCAACGGGGTAAAAAACCACCCGCTGTTCCACCATCTTAATCATGGCCCACTGCTGATCCCCCAGGAATCCTGTGGAGTTCACAAACCTCTTGTACAGCCCTCGGGCCTGACTCAGGATAACCTGGAAAAGAACAGGCAAATGTTATTGTACAGGCTGTGATCTGCTGGGTTCATCCAGGATGGATCCCAGTCTATCCAACCTCTTCACACAGCACTGAAATCCTTTGGGAGGCGTTGCTTTGCATGTGGCCTTTTCTAAACTGAAGACTCTGAACTGATTTTAGATTTATTAAATTGTTTAGGCTGGAAAAGATCTCTGTGACCGTGGAGTCCAACCATTAATCACCTCTTGCTGACCCATGCAGAAGGTGATCTCTTCTGCCAAGCTCCAAGCCTTCGAAATCCTGCTAAATATTTCTGGGATGGGTTGACAGAACACAGGACTCCAGATGGATTTATCTGGTGGCACAGTGATATTTTCCCTCCCCTACCACCCCTTCCAAAAGGGAAGCAGCACCACAGTTATTCCCCTGCCCAATTTACCAAGAACATGGAGTGAGCAGATAGGGGGGAAAGGATTGAAAACTGAGAGCAGGGTTAGATGGGATATTGGGAGGAAATCCTTCCCAGAGAAGCTGTGGCTGCCCCATCCCTGGCAGTGCCCAAGGCCAGGTTGGATGGGGCTTGGAGCAACCTCAGCCTGCCCATGGCAGAGAGTGACACTGGATGAGCTTAAAGATGACTTCCCACCCAAACCATTCCATGATTTCCCAGCCTCTGGAGCCACCCAAGGGCTCCACAAGGACCAGCCTTACCAGGATGGCCACGAAGCTGATGAGGAAGGAGACGAGGAAGACGCCGATGCCGTAGAAATGCATCGCGCGGCAGACGGAGCCGCTCAGGCCCTGCGGCTCGCTGGGGGGCTCAGCCAGCTCCGTGTGCATCAGGAGACACCTGGGGACACAGGGGACAGCCTGAGCTCCTGTCCACCCCCCCAGAGCAGCGCTGGGGCTGTGCCAGAGCAAGGGAGGAAGCTCACCCGTGCTTCTGGCTGAAGTTCTGGTAGCAATTACTGCTGTTGCCCAGGCAAAACACCGGCACCATGAGGAGGAAAGGGATCAGGCTGGCAGGAGAAAGGAGAGCACAGTCATGGGTTATTGCACTGCTCCACTTGGGCACTGCTTGGTTTTTCTCCCATCACTACAGAGGACTTGAAAGTTGTTTTTATTGGCACTGCTCTGGAAAAGTATTTTATCAGCTTTACCAGCGTCGGGGCTTTTAATTTGTGAGGGCTAATCATTGGTAAAGGGAAACCTTCTGGAAAACCACATCTAGTTAATAAAGTTATCATTAACTTGGTTGAAAAAACCCTCTTACTCTGCATTCGTGAGGTCACTCTGCTGTTAATGATGAGCTTTACAGCTTTTTTAGTAAAATTTGCATCAAAACAAGTAGGAAGCAGGGATCAACACACTGCAGTTTGCCAAATCCACACTCTCCCACTAGGGAGAATTAACTCTTATCAAATCCATACCCTCTGCCAGGGAGAATGAAATCTTACCTTGACAAGATCGTTGCTATTCTGCCAACACAACTTGCATAATCTACAACCTGCAAAATCCAAAAATCTTAATTAAATTATTCCTGAACAGCCCCTGGTTCACAGGAATCAGCTTCCAGGGGGCATTTCAGCAGCTGAGGGGGATCTGCCCAGCCTGCTGCTCCTGAACTTCCAGATGGAATATCTGGGATACAAAGTTTGCTGTGCACAGCAAATGTCTGGGGAAGCTGTGTAGGGCAGTGGGGCTGATGGGAAGAGCTGCATAAGGAATGTGCCATCTTGCAGGAATAGCTGGGGTATTCCCCAGCCTGGTCATGGCAGCAGTGGTGCCTCCCTGTTTGGGTGGGAGGGAGGAATTAACTGCAAGGAGAGATTTTGGTCATGGGGTGTGTGAAGTATTTGCTCAGCCTGCAATGCAGGGAGGTTTTTCATGAGTGTTGTGTCCTTGTCCCTGGGTTCCCAGCCTTTACACCAGTCCCACTCACCTGGGGAGGCACCCTGAAGAGGTTCTGGTTGTATTTCACCTTGAGGTCCATGTACAGGTGCCAGGTGTAGTTGACAGTGTAGAGAAAAGAGGCCACATAGAATATCTGAGAAATAAAACCAGCATTTCAGTGCTGGAGCATGTTTAGTTCCTCCCAAATCCCTTGGAACAGAGGCAGGATGATGAATACCTGCCAAAGGTGAGGGTCTGAGCACAGGGGCTGTGCTCACATCCAGCTGGGGAGAGCCAGGTTGGAGAGAGATTCCCACTTTAAACCACACAAAAGCAGCTTCACTTTGGCCTCAGACAGGATAACTAATGACAGCAGAACTGTCTTAGAAATAAAAATCTTTGTGATCTGGCTCATTTTTTTGGCTCAGAGCCCAGCAATGAGGGTTTCAGAGGCACTTGGACCTTCTCAGTGCTATATCTATGTCCATTAGGAAACACAGCACAGATGTGACATTTAGATTTGCTTCTTGCATAATAAGCTCACTACGCAGAGAATTCACGGAAACAGAAAACAATTGGATATTTCAAGAGGAATGTGAGGGCAGATATTCTCTGCCCTCAGCCTGAGTTAACATCCCAAAACCCCTTTTCTTCCTCCATGGGAAAAATTAGAAAAGATAGAGCACACTGAGAGTTTCATAACCTTTGATTCCAGCTTGAGATAAGTCTAGTTATCTAAAATTTCCTATAAACCTGCCCAAATGTTAATCAAATTTGTTTCCAAATTCATGCTTACTCCAGGTTGCCTAATCAAGACCATGTACATGCATGTGCTGTGTTTGTCACAGGAAACACAAACTACAGTGGCAAAGAGGAAGGGCTGGACAAGGAAAAATTTTTTTTTCTGTGGCTTTACTATCTTTGCCAAAAAGATAAGGAGCACAGGTTTGCCACCCTGGTATCATCCACGGCTGGGAAAGTGGTGACTAAACAAACCTGGCCTCCTTCACTGAGGTTGTGAATGCTCTTGGCTGGCTCAAGAGGCTGAGTCCAAGGGCTGCCACAAACATTGTTGTGACTTTCCAGCTCATTAAATGAGTTTTAATGAGGGGCCGTTGCCCTTTTCCAACTACTTCCAGAGAAGGCCAAAACAGTCCACAAGGATCATTTTCTTGCACTTCAGGACGCCTGGGAGAGGCTCATGAAATATCAGTGCTGCCTTCTGGAACAGAGACCCAAATGCCACTTGTGAAGGTGCCAGCGGGAAGGGAAGGGAAGGGAAGGGCAGGGAAGGGAAGGTGCCAGCAGGAAGGGCTCTCCTGAGCCCCAGCTTTGGGGCTGGGGGCAGTCCTGCAGCACTGCCCATGAGGAGATAAAGCAGAGACACAAGAATCCCTCATTATCCCACTTGTGTGGCTCCCATTGTCCTGCCCAGCATGAGCAGAGCCTGCCAGGACATTATTAGGCCACTGGAACTGAAGTGGAAGAACGTGGGGCAGTTGTGCAATTATAACCACAATATCTATTCTGGACTTTATTATTGCAATGCAGGAGGAGGAGAGAATGGGGGGACAGTAAAGGGAGCAGTATTTACATTCATATCAATCAAAGCTCTGGGGCTGAAAGAGGGAAAATCCAAGAAACAAAGCAATCTCCTCCTTTATGCCACAGTTTGGACACTGGGCAGCTCCATCCACTGCAAATGATGCAAATGACTGCAAATGCCTGTGATGACAAATAATGCAAACAGCCTGAATAAAGCAAAATATCGCCCTGCTCCTAAGGCAGTGCCTTGAGACATCACAAGGATTCCAGTGTGAGCCTTCCAAGGGCTGCAAACTCCACTGCTGGGCTGTCCCTGCCTGTCCTCACCTCGGCTCATCTGACACCTTCTGGGTGCTGGTGTGCAGAGAGGCCCCAGGTGTTTGTGGGACACCCAGAAGCACAGTGAGACATTTATTTACTCATTCCATCAGCTTCCAGATCCCTCCTGCTCTGCAGAATCTGCTGGTTCAACCTGTTACTGGCTCCTTCTTATGCACAAGGTGTTCCCACCTCTCAAGGGCACTGCAGGGTGTTGGGTGAGGAGGTCCTGCACTGTCACATGCCCTGGGGGACAGGTTGCTATGGCAAGGGCTCAGTTTGTTTTAATTTCTCCCAGAGCAAACAGCAGCGACTGCTCTTGCCAGGCACAATCCGGCTCTGCCACCCAGGCAGTCCCTGTGCTGTGGGGACTGGTGGTGGCACACAGGAGAGGGGCCAGGGGACACTGGCTGAGGTCAGGGTGTGACTCTGCACACCCTGTCCTGGCCCAAGGCCAGCTGGCCCACCCAGCATGAACACAAAGCCCCCACCTTGTCCCATCCTGTGCTGGTGTCCCTGAGAAGCACAGCCACAGGTTGGAAAAGTGAGGGCAGAACAGAGCCAGAAGTGCAAGGGAGCTGAGAAATTATGGGCATATTTTTCACAGCTCCTCTAGCAGTGCAAATTGCCTTCTCCAAGCAATAAAAACATCACACCAGCAGAAAGAAGTGTCCCCCAGGCAAGAGAAACAGCTCAGGAACAGCCTCAGTCCTGCTTGCTCCTTCCACCTTCCAGCTCTGAAAGCCTCTCCCAAGCTCTCCTCATTTTCCCATTTACCATCACCTTCAAAACATCTTTGATGTTGTTCTGCATCCTTCCCAAGTGGCCAAGTTACCCAAACCCCACTGTTTCTCTCAACATGAACATACTGTGGAGCTAGTAGGGACCAGAGATGAGCCTGGAGTGGAACACCCTCAGCAACACATCTGTACTCCCAAAAACAGCTGCTGAAACAACCTTGGGCTGCAGGAGCCCATCCCCAGACACACAACAGCCAGAACAATTCTATCCTGCACCTGCAGCTACACCACTGCCCTCTCTGAGGCACATGGAGATCCTTTCCAGCTTTGGATGCTGCTGTTCCACGAGGAAATTCAGTTCCCTGTTGTGGGTGCCACCACACTCTCAGGGAGCTGCCTGAGCCCACACATCAAGGCTCCCAAAAGCCCCTTGCTCTTCCCAGCCATATTCTTTAAAAGGAAAATTTATTCCAGAGATCATCATTTATGAACCCCCAAGCTCAGCTGGACCGTGCAGAGATTTTTGAGAGCTGAGATTTGCAAAGCCTATTGTGGAAATGGGAGCTGTGTGAGGCAACAGCAAACTGTCAGGAAAACAGTGCTCACCCCCCCTGCTCCAACTGGTCCCCAGCACAGGGATCAGCTGGAAAGCAGCTGAGTCAATGGGACACAGGCTGAGCTTGTGCTGATGGAGAATCCTTGGGAAGAGCAAGAAATGGGATGTTCATGTGAGTTATTTAAGTCTGAGCTCAAGCAAGTCACAGAATGTGTCTGCTCCTGCCCAGGCTGGAGGAAACACAAAGAGAAGTAGAAAAGCTGCCATGAGAGAGCAGAGATCCACGGGCATGGATCCAACAGGAGAGATCAAGTCCCATCTGCTCGTTTCACACAAGCAACCACAAAATCCCACCTTCTCTTCCTCTCACACACCAGAGGAACCTAAACCCCAGTGCCATTATCTCCCTTTTCCACACAAAGCCAAGAGATCTGCTAAAGCCTGTCTAGAAACAGCCCCCATGGCCACGCTCTGATCACAACAAGGTTAATTATGACAAATTACAAGGTTAATTATAGAATGTGGTGCCAAGGCCACTCACCTGTCCCGTGGCCTGCAGGTTGTAGCAGATGAGGTCTTGCTGGGAGGTGGGTGAGCTGTAGAGCAGGGCCCCAGCCAGCCAGCACATGCCCAGCAGCAGATCTGAGAGGCTCAGGTAGAAAAGTGGACGCACCTGGAAAAGGGAAAAGGCTCAGCAGGTGTGAGTGCAGTCACAGCCCTCCCACCCCCAGCTGCAGTTTTACCCTCTTATCAGACATAAAGATATTTAATACAGCATTCCAAAGGTTTTTCTGCAGGTGAGGAAAGTTTTTCAGTAGAAAAACCCCACTGCAAAGTAATTTTGAAAGCCTTAATTGAGGGAAAATGGGGAATAAGTGGCACTTTGTGGAGGGATGATTTTACCCTCAGGGAAGCACTGTGACAACATTTCTGAGACCAGTCAATTCATCTGCAGCAAACCCTGACAGCTCCAATAAAAAAGTCTCCTCTACTTTCACAGCCAAGAGAGTTCAAAGAAAAGTTGCCAGATGAAAACTTGTCAGCCTCTGCTCCTGAATATCATCCTTGTTTTCAGTCCTTTAAAACTCCTACACCAATTATAGCAGAAAGATTAATTGTGCTCAGACATCAGTACCAGGTTATCTGGTGTTATCTGAACACTGTCAACCCCCAGCTCTTCTGGAGAGACAACTCTCCTTGCAGGGAAATTCCACACAGATTTGTGCTCTCAGGAGCAGTTCCAATGTACATTCCCTACTCCAACCACTGCTTCTACAACAAGACCCAAGAGCAGCATCAAAACTTACAGAAAATATCCCAAATGTCCACCATGTTACAATTTTGCAGAACAGGACAGGTTGGCAGGGAGAAGAGACATCATGTTTTAAATAAACTCACATAGAGTCAAACTTCCAGTAAACACAAACCCTTCCTCAGATCTGGAATTACTTGAAACAAACATTTTTCTATGTGTTCCGTGTCATTTCAACTGATGACTAAGGTTGGGTTTATTTTACAAGCTGGATTAATTTCCACTGAGAGCCATTATTGCTGCATCTTGCTGGAAAGGAGTCACGTCTCCTTTAACAACAGTTTCCAGCCATTTCCAGTTTGCACTCAGTGGCCAGGACTGTAAACACTGCAGGAAAACATTTGTGCAAAAATTCTGGCCAACATTTTCTTTGTTAGTGGGAGAGCAGAGACTTTGGAAAAGCAACCTAATTACCTACATTCTTAATTAAAGCCTTTGGTACCTCATTTTCAGCACCCAGGAGAGAAAATTGTGGTGTTTTTCTTTCCCTACAGAAAATTATAATGCTAAACACAGCATGGAAATGCTTCAGCAGGCTTTGATTTTGTATTTCTTTTCATGGAGCTGAGTTTTTGGTGAGATTTGCCTCGATATTGTCCTGGAAGTAAATGTATGTCCCCCTTCACGTTGTGTTATACTTGTTCCCATGTGCAATGAGAGAGAGCTTAGGAAGACTGATAAGAGTTAAGGTAGATCTGATTGAGCCAGATTTGTCCTTAGAGCATGAAGGAGCACAAGGCACAATGATATGGAGTTAATTTTAATTTGATTTCATCTCTAAATGCCTTTTTTTAACCAGGCTTTTCCTCACTGGTGCAGAAAAGAAGCCCTGGCACGACAGGCTGGGGGCACTGTCCAGTTTGTGATCAAGGCAGGTTAAACCAAACAGATCTAAAATAAGCAAAGAAGGCACTTTTGCAATCAAACAGGTGACCTCTTTCTCCAGTACAAGTGCCCTTGGAGCAAGGCACTGCTGCTGGGTTTTGGCAGAGACCTGGATAAAGAAGTAGGTGACACAGGGGCACGTGTGGCTCTGGCTTGAAAAAGGGGAAAGAAAATAACCACTGGTATTTATAAAATAGAGGAAGGGACTCCAAAGATGTAATGATTTACATCCTGGCAGCTCCAGCTGCAGCACACACGGGGATTTGGCTTGGTGGCCATGGCCCAGGCACATGCTGAGCTGAAGGTTCTTCCTCAAACCTGCTGAGCTGAGAGTTCTTCCTCAAATGTGTTGAGCTGAGGGTTCTTCTTGCTTGCCCATCACCTCTTCTGAATGACTTTCCTCAGACTGAAGGGTTTTGTTGACCCCATAGAGACAGAAAGCAAGCTCCAAGAATGCAGTGTTTGATTTCTGAGGTTGAGGGCAGGAAGGGAAGTGTTTCTAAGATCCTTCTCCTCCCAGCCTAAAGAGCTGTTTATTTTTAAATGTTTTGCTGTGGGTCCTCATGACTCAGAGAATAAGCTGTTTGTGGCAAGCTTTGATATGGATCTCTTCCAGCCCTTTTGTTTACAAACTTCCACTTCAGACCCGAGACATGAGGACAAGAAGATGGGGAAGTTAATGGAGATTTTGTCACTTTTGAAACCCAGCACCAGATCTCCCCTGGCAGCAGAAGAGCTTGGAAGGCTGATGCAAACCAGTCCCTCCAGCTGGCATCCAGCCCTCCTATCCGCATTTGCAGAAATAATCTGAGCAGAAACATCTGGACCCTCTGGAGCAGGAAGGGCCCATTGTTGACCTGGAGCCATGTGTGGCTCATGAGCAGCTCCCAGGCCACAGCTCCATCACATGACTGAGAGCAGAAGGGCTCCTGAGCAACCAGGCTATGGAAACCAACAGGATGAGGCTGCTGAGTCACAGCAGGACACTGCCAACCCCTGCTCCACATCGTTCCAGAGAGAGGACCCCAGAAGGAATCACACCTGGAGCTTTCCAGGTGCAGATGTAGTAGAAAGAGACTTTGATGTGTACCTTGAGCAGCACAAGCTCAAGCAGATTTTCCATCTCAGCACTAAGGTGAAGTCCCAGCTTTTGTTCTTCCCTGGGGATGCATGGAGATCTCCACAGTTCATTCTGGATGTGCTGGGCAGTGTGTTTCCAGCAGGCTGGCTGGGAGCAAGGTCCTCCCTGCTGTAAATGGGACAGTTTTGCCCTGCAAACATGGACTCATGCTCTCCTTCCCACCATGTCATCCAGCAGTGTGTCAGTTGCCTGCATTCCTTGCTTCTTCAGGGATAGCTCCATGAATTCCCTGAAAGTCCCATTCTCTGGGCTGCAGATCAAACCCATGATGTACAAAGAACATGAAGATGAAGGAAGGACAAATACAGCTGCTGCCAGCTCCACTGACTTTCTGTGTGTTCCACAGGCCAGGCTGAGCCTGCAAACCCTGGACAGCAAATCCCTACTTCACAGGGATCAGCTTGGCTCACTGCCCCCAGGAAGTCCTGGACAGAGGGATTGTGTGTGGACACCCAAGCCTGGCAGGATGGGATGGAGGGCTGTGGGGTCAGTTTTAGTAGCACACCTGCCCAGAGAAACACCTCCTAGACAGCCAAAAACCAACACTTATAAAAGCATTTCTGCAGGGGCAGCTCCAATTTGCACTCCAGCACCTTTGTGCACAACTCTTCAGCCCTCCAGGAGTTTTGCCCCACTGAGGAGGGCACACTAAGAAATCCCTGCTCCCAGGAATGACTGGAGGACTTTCCTGGAGCAGCAGAAGGCATGGGACTAAGGAACCTGCTTCTCCCTGCAGAAGCACAGGTTCAAGGTCAGTCCTTTCACCTCCTACCAAGACAAAGAGCCAAATTTTTAGCAAGCCCTTTGCCTCCCAGCTATTAAACAAGGTTTAACCACATAACCCTGAGACCTGCAGCTGCTCCTAGGAGAGAGTCTGTGCTACAGGTGTGACCAACCTGCAGAGACTGACACAATGGCTTAGGGAGGGAGAAGGAAGCTCAGACCTTACCTCAGGGGATCGCACTGCGTTTTGGAAGACGGCGTAGGCAATAATTGAGCTGGAACCTACAACGCTGAGAAAACAAAGCACAGGTTGGAACGGGAGGGCGTCTGCCTCGCTGGGAGACGCGAGTTCTCTTTTTTTGCTTTTCTGGGTAAAATCATCTTTGCGACAGTAACTCTATGGGCAGCGCGTGGTACCTGAGCATGGCCATGGTGAACTGGATCCACTGGAGCGCAGAGTAGACCTGGGGAGAAGGACGGGAGGGAGCTCAGGTGACACGGCCCCAGGCACGGCAGGAGCGCCCCGGGACCGCGGGGAGGAGCGGGCAGCACGGACCGGGGACCGGGAGCCCGGGGAGGAACGACAAGGACCGGGGATCGGGATAGGAGCGGGCAGTGCGTACCCGGGAAGATGGACTGGAGCGTCCCGGAGAAGAGCGGGCAGCACGGACCGAGCACAGGGACCAGGAGCCGCGGAGTCCCGGGGAGGGGCAGCACGGACGGGGGACTGGGGACAGCGGGGTCCCGAAGAGGAATAAGCAGGACGGACTGGGGACAGTGACCGGGGGAGGATCGTGCAACGCTGCCGGCGCCGCCGGGCACGGAGCGGGGCGCAGGGCTGGGGAAGGACCGTGAGGGGATGGATGAGGAGAGACGCGCACGGCGAGGTCCCGGGGAGGGGGCAGCCGCTGTCCCTAAGGGGTCCCGGTGCCGGCGGGGCTCGCTCACCTCCTGCCAGCCCCCATCCAGCCGGTCCGCCTCCGCCGGCAGGGCCATTGGTACCGCCACCGCCGCCGCACCGCTCCGGGGCTGCGGACACCGCCCGCGCTCCGCCCCGGGGCCGCACCGCGCCCGGCCCCCGCCGGCGGGGCCGGCTGCGGGGAGCGCCCGGTGGCAGAGTGGAGCTGAAGGGACAGGAGTCCTGGGCAAACAGCAGGATTGGAGTCCCGGGCACCGGCGTCCCGCGCATCCCTCCGGGGGCAGAACCGGCCGAGCCCCGGTGGGCGGGCTCGCTCCGGTCACCGCCGCCCCGGGCTCCCCTCACGGAGCCGCCCTGAGGCGACCCCGCGGAGCCTCGGGCCCGCCCCTCCGTGACGTCACCAGCACCCGGGGGCGGGAAGCGGCGGCGGTTCTGAGGGAGCACGCGGGGGCTGCTCCCCTCAGAGAGCCCAGGGGCTATTCCTCTCAGACCGGGTACCATCCCTTGAGTCCCGTGGGCTGCTCCCCTCGAAAAACCCGGGCAGGGCTCCTTCAGAGTCCCGGGGGCTGCTACCCTCGAAGAACCCGGGCAGGGCTCCTTCAGACTCCGGGGGCTGCTCCCCTCAGAGAGCCCGGGCACGGTTCCCCTCAGAGAGCCCGGCGACTGCTCCCTTCACAAATCCAGGGGGGCACGGACCCCTCAAGTGCCGATCCTATCAGGGGCTGCTCCGTTCAGAGTCCCGGGGAATACTTCCCTCATTGCTTCGAGAACGGCTCCCTTCAGGAGACGATTTCCTCAGGGTCTCCGGGGCTGAATATCTCCACACAGCCCTCCCAAGGACTGCCCACCCTGCCGGGGTCTTTCCTCTGCCGCTCCTGAGGGGACAGCGAGACACCCTCGGCTTCCCTCACCTCGCTTCAGCAGTCACAGCCTCCCCTCTGATCATGAAATTGGCAGTAGTTTCTCTATAGTGGTTGAAGAAGCAGCTCTGAAGTGGATTTTTTTTTTTTATTATAGCATTATTAATACATTTTATCTCACAGCAACATCTGCTCCTTGTACCCACCCCAAGATTCAAAAGGCAGCAAAGCTCCCACAGGAATCAGTTTTGTTTAAAGCATACTCTTAAGGTAAAACTCACAGGTGTTTCTCTTTTCAACTACTGTCAGCCTGACCAGGACTTCAGCATCTTCCAGAGGCATCCAAATTCCACAGAGCGTGAACTGCACAGTTCTGAGGACTGACCTGATCCTTGGACCAGGCACCTCCCTTTAAATAACACAGATGAGGCTTCTAAGGACACAAATGCTTCTGCTTCCTCTTACAAGACCTTATTTTCAAATATTCAAAACTACCAAACACTGATGAGGCTTTAGTTTGAGAGTGTCAATTGTTTCTGGAGGCTAGAAAAACATTTTGTTCATGAAGCTTGGACAGGTAGAACACCTCTTCAACTGTAAGAAAACTCATCCAAATTTACCTCTGAAAACCCGATTTTTTGCACAAACTGGTGAGACTGAGTGTAATAGCACCTCAAGGAGACTCTGCCCTTGCTCAGAACTCACTTCACTCACTGTGCCAAGGCATCGCAAAGGATTTCAGGAGAATATTTGATGAAATGGCTGCTCTGGACAGAAAATGAGGGGCAAGCTGTGAACTGTCTTCACTGCCAGCATTTGGCTGCTACCCAAAGCAAACAGGGACAGAAGCCATGGAAGGAGAAGCCAGAAAAAGGAAGCTCTGAGTCTCTTAGTCAACAACAGGTAAGAACAAGACTTGGAGCCAAAGTGGGACAACACAAGGTGTGTGAGGGGTAGATTAACAAGCATAAAACCCAAGGATATTACAGACAGGGAAAGGTGGGGACAGAGGGCACCCAATCTGTACCTTTTCCAGCATGTAAAATGGAATGAGAGACTGAATTTTGTTATTTGTTAGCCAGGGAACAGCTGTAAAAAACACCAGGAATGAGCTTCCGGCCAATCTAGAGCTTTTTTTTTTTGTTGTTGTCTGCTTTAACACTGTTATTGGATAGCATTACACAATACTTGCTGTGTCTTGCTCTTAGGTGATTTTTCCAACACTTACAATACTGTGTTTTTAAGAAATGTCTTCCTCTTGATCTTCTAAACTGAGAATCCCAGAAGGAGATGTGCTGCCCTCTTGAAGTCAGCGGGAAGTTTGCTTGCATTAAGGAGAACTGGTTAGGACTCTTGACAATGTTTCACAGCTTGTAGAGAGTTCTCCAGCACATCAGAGCTCATCTTTTTCACTACTCTTCTTCCGGAAAGAAGTGAGGATGTTGAGGCTTTTCTGGAGCTCCTCCTTCTTTCCATCACTCATCTTGTTCTTCTCGATCAGCTTTGTGATTCGGACGACTTCGTTAGCAGCAAACTCCTCTCCCTGCTCCAGGATCTTGCTCATAATTTTCAAGTATTGCTCTGCTGACTTCTTCTCGGTTTCTTTCGCTTTTCCTAAATTCTCCTGCCCCTTTTTCAGGAGGGCCTGGCGATCAGATTTCTCTGTGGTGCTCATAAATTTGCTGGCCAGCACATCATACTCCTTCAGGCAGCCTGGCATCCCCAGGTAGATGCCATTACTCTTCAGCCAGCGCTGAATAGCCCCAGCCTTGATCTCACCACTATAAAGTAAAGGATTTTTAAAGTCACCATCCTGGAACAAGTAAAAAACAGGGAACTTTTCCTTGTCCAGCTTGTACTTCTCTCCCAGCTCAGTGTTCAGTTTATCACCGTAATCTGTCAAGGGACAACGAAACACAGAAAAGCACAGTTAATCAAAAATTAAATTAGGATTCCCTCCCACACAAATATTTGTAGGCAGAGCTTCAACATGTCCTAATAACCTGTCTGCCAGGAAATCACAGAGTCATGGAAATATCCTGAGCTGGAAGGGACCCACAAGGATCGAGTCCAACTTCCAGCCCTGCTCAGGACACCCCAAAATCCCACCCTGTGCCTGAGAGCACTGCCCAAATACTCCCTGAGCTCTGGGAGCCTCGGGGCCCTGACCATTCTGTGGAGAGCCTGTTCCAAGGAAATGCCACACACTGAAATAAAAACACCTCATAAAATCATTTGTGCAAGGCAAACATTCAGTGGCTTTTCCAAAGCAAAAGACTTTAATGGTGTTTTGCTGTGACTGTGAGAGTGTAAGACATTGGCAGGACCTTTTGTATAAACTCTGTCCTCTTTATGGGAAATCAATACCCTTTTTCCTCTTATTTTCCTCTATCCACTGATTTTACAGTTAAATAAGAGTTTTTCCTGTCTATGTGCAGAGAATGATTTGGTTCTGACAGCATGCCAAGCTACAAGACGTTTAGTCATCTTACATAAATTATATTTATTCTTGAGGACAGAAAACAAAGCCATTTCAAATATGCTACTCGGAGAATTCCACATATGTTTAGAAATATCAGAGTGGGTAAAACTTCACAGTTTGATAATTAAGCCTAAATTCTTAATTCAACCTACAAAGCCAGAGCACGTCAGGTGACAGTGATCTATTTTTCACTCTTTTTCTCTTAAATCCAGCCACAGTCACATCAAGTTAGAGCAGCCACAGTGCAACAACCCCTTGCTGTGCTGCCCCAGGGCTTGCTGCATGGAATTAATCACACTAAATATTCTTTGTCTGACCAGGATTGTGGCTAAAACACCATTCTTGTGAGGTCTGTTCCCTGCGTGTGGGACAAAAAGGTTTCTCTCAGCAAAGAAGGGGGGAAAAAAAGGCAAGAATTACTGAGGATGAGGAGGTGGCAGCAGTTCAGCAGCGTGGGCTGACTCTTCATTACCCAGCCCAGATGGATAAGAAGCTCTCCCACGCACAGCCAGGGCAGGAGCTCCACTCTCACATCCATCCCTCCCCCAGAATTGCCTCAGAACCTGCAGAAATCACACTGAAATGTATCCCCTCCTCACCAGCCCACACTGTTTGCATGTACTCAGAGTTCCTCACCTGATATTCCCACTTCAGCCACCAGCAGATCCTCACTGGAGCCTGAGCTCTCCGCCAGCTTTTTAAACTCATCTTGTTTCTCACCATAGGGATATTGTGTGTCAAACTTCACAAGGACAAACTTATGCTTTGGAATAACCTAAAATAAGAAGTAAAAGGGGAAAAGACAAGACAAAACTTGATCATTTCAGGTCTGAGCAATCTACAAGTCACCAAAAGTTGTTTTTGATTGTCCTTTTTTTCCTGTGCAATGGGGAGATGCAGAGGAGAATGGAAATTTTATATAATTATGGCCTTTCAGAAATGACTCACTGTCGTGTGGAGGAAAGACTGAGCTTTGGGTGTCTGAATTCCTGCACCAGATGATAAAGATAGTACGTGGTAGGTTTGGGGGATCTGATTATGCCTTTAATTATAAGATTTGCTTATTGTAAATCTGACTGGCACCTTGGAAGAAAATCAGCTAAAGCATTTTCCAGTGGGACATGAAGAGGAGAGAGGCCAAAGGTACTGTTGTTCTGAAGTGTTCCAGCATGAGAGCTGCACTCTTGGCTAGGAGGAGGCACAGGGAGGCAGTGCAGATGCTGGAGGTGTACACGAAATGGAGAATGCACATTCAATTGATTCCTTTTCACTTCAACCTTGCTCTGCTCACATGATGCCTTTTCCAATTAGTTTGGCAATGGACTCTCTCACCCCTTGAGGGATGTTCCCCTCCCTGCAGTAGAAGGCCTTGCAAAATCTTTTTGTTCTAGCGAACAGGTTGAGGTTGCACCACAGCTCCCCACCTACACAGCGCTCTGCCAGCCCTGCTCGGGCTCTGCACATCTGTATGCACAGGCGGCTGCAGGCTCCGTCCTGGCCTGCCGAGCGGTCAGTGTCCCGGTGGGGAGCGCACAAGGCCCTGGGAATATTCCTTCCTTACAAAGTGATTTAGTGAAGGGAAAAAAAAAAAAGGGGAAAAAAAAAAAAAAAAAGCAGCCTGTTGCTGTTTGATGAACAAGTGAAACCACCCAAGCAGCGCGCGTCCACGGCGCCGGCTCTATCCCTGCACGGTCCTGCCTTCCCTCAGCGGCACAGACAGCCCAGCCCCGGCCGAGGAGCCGCGGCTGCGGCCGCACCTCCCTGCGCCGGTACCGCCGGTACCGCCGGGCCGGACCCCGCGGCTCGGCTCCACTTGGACCGCGCCGATTGGCTGCCGGCCGCGGCCGCCGCGCTCCCATTGGCTAACTGCTGCGGTCGCCGCGCTCCCATTGGCTGGCTCTGCCGGCACCGAGCGCTCCCCGCGCCGGTGGCGGCGGCAGCGACCCGGTGCCCGCGGCCCCGCCGCGCCCCCCGCGTTCCTCCCGGGCCCCGTCCCTCGGG